AGCAACCGTGTGCAAGAGAGCACCACTGTTGTATATAGAAGGTCACAAGGAATATTCATGACAGACTGGAGCGCTTGTGGATTCTTTGGAAAGGAAGATGTAAGGAAAACGGAGCGCCGCTGGAATCTACGAGTCCTCCCGAGTCCGCCCGCATCATCGCTGAGATGCGCACGTGCGCTGTCGCGCCGACCCGCACGACAGGGGGAAGGGTGAGCGAGGACAAGAGGAGGAGGAGGAGGAGGAGGAGGAGGAGGAGGGGGAGGAGGAGGAGGAGGAGGGAAAGGAACAGGAGGAGGAGGAGGTGGAGGTGGAGGTGGAGGAGGAGGGAAAAACGTCCATTCTCTTATCAGCATTTCCTTGACGTGTTGTTTAGCTGTCCGAAGCAGATCTTCATGTACATGCTCCCTCTACATGTCCTGTGCACGCAGGCGGCGTGGTGTACACGAGCGCTGCGTTGCACGCGGTTGCTGTGGTGTACACAGGCGGCGTGGTGTGCACAGGGGCCGCGGTGCACGCAACATTTATGGTGCACACAGGCGCTGTGTTGCACATGGTTGCTGCGGTGTACACGTATGCTGTGGTGTACACCCGCGCTGTAGTGCACGCAAGCACTGTGGTGTACACAGGCGCTGCGTTGCACACGGCTGTTGCCGTGTACGCGGGCGTTTTGGTGTACTTGCGTGCTGTGGTGCACGCGAGCATTGTGGTGCACACATGCGCTGTGGGGCAGATAACCACCTACATGATGCTCGCGTCGTCGTCGTCACTCGTCGTTCGTCGCTCGTCGCTCATCGTCGTCGTGCGCTTGGGCGCGGCTGTGGTGCAGGAGCCACACGGCGGGGGGGGCGTAACGTCATACCCCCCCGCCCCCCCCCCATGATGACGCCAGTCATCGCAAAAAATAAAATAGAAGCTATCCTGCCCTTCCTCCCTCCCTCCCGCATCCTGCCCCTCTTCTCTCCTCCTGCTCCTCATTTGGAGTACTCAGGGGCACGGCCCCGAGCCGAACCATGGCAGCATTAAGCTCGTGCTGCACATCGCGAGCAACAACCTCACGAAAGAGCTCGGCGACTGGGTTCGCTAGTTCGCGGTCGGGTTGCAGGCGCAGGATGTCGAGGGCGTCGCGCACGCCGAGGAGTTCGCGGGGGCTGTCGGGTTACATGCCAGAGGGGGATCGGGTGATGGAGACGCGGGAGGACATGACCTGGCTTCGCTTGGACGTGCGCATTTTTCTTGGCAGACACCAGCAAGGGTCCTTCTGTGCGGGACATCTCGCGAGAAAGCATACGCGCGAAACCGAAACATGCACAGGGAATGGACGTCCGAGCGGTGGCGAGATGAGGTGCGAAGCCGAGTCGGTGCGCTCCTCTGGGTGCGACAGACGGCTGCGCAGGTGAGCCACCACCAGAAGGCGCCCCTCAGGCCTCCGAGAGGGTGCAAGGTGCAGGGGAAATGGAAGTCCCTTGCGCCGCGCAAGAAGTCCAAGAGCCGTCGCCTACCGGGTTGTCGCGTTGCTCGTCGTGGTCAGTGCGGGCGTAAGCGCGGGCGGCGGACAGACCCGCGCAACGGCCTCGCAGGAGGAGAGGAGGAGGCAGCCTGGAACAAGCTTCTGGTCAGGAAGGCCCTGGAGGAGGTGCCGTTGCTGTTTTTGTGGGTTACTACCGGCAGAAGGCCAAGGAGGTCGCGGTGCAGCTTCTTCGCGAGGCTGCGGAGGAGCCCGCCGAGTCCGAAGCGTTTGCGCGCAAATAAAACAGGAGGGTCAAACAAGAAGTCTCATCATGCGATCGTTTTCTTATTCATTGTTTTGCCGATCGGCGCAGGCCTTCGCCCCCCCCCTCCCCCCCGATGGAGTAGCTTTCGGGTTTTTGGCGCCTGCTTCGAGCAGGTGGAGTCTCTCGGATAGGACGCACTGTTGCAAACAGACGCATTAAGCAGACGCCCGGAGCCAGACCCCCCCCCCTTTCCCCCCCTTTGCCAATTGTCGAATCGCCGAGCAAGAAAACGCCCACCATCGGTGATGAAACGGAACCGCTGGTCAAGGTACGCGGAGGCGCGGAGAGGGCGTGCTGTGCCTTTTGCAGGTGACGCTGCGGACGCACACCAAAAAGCTCAGCCGAGGGCTGGAGGACACGCGTGAGGCGGTAGACTTCTTGGGCATGGGTGCGGGTGAAGGGCCGTCGAGGGCGGTCGGCAGTTCATCCAGCATTATGACAAGGAGGGTTGTGTCTTCCTTCTCCCCGCGAGTGGCGGGCCGCGCGTCCTCGCCCATCGCCCGGACCCAGGTGAATGCCTGAAGGGGTTGGAGTTCGTGTCGGAGGTACCGGTTGTCAAGGAATGGGGCACGACCGTAAAGTGCTGGTGGTGGTCTGCGGGCGGATCCACGGTGTCAACGCGGAGGCGTCCCATGTTTTGGGACATATGCAGGAAAAAAGGGTGCTCTTCGAAGGGGGGCGAGGACCGCGCCGCATTTTGTTTAGCAATACGGTCAAGTTCAACAAGCTGCCGATCAGCCCCGAGCAGCAGGGTCGAGGGTGTTCCCTCGCATGTCCAGAACGCGAAGGAAAACTTCAGCATCTAGACAAAGTATGTCTCCTGGGTTCGGCCCTTCCTGCCTGTGCGCGGGAGGGCGAGGTCCAAGTTGCTCTTGGCGCTTGCCGGGCGCCGTTTGGCTCGCGGGTTGTCTTTCCCCTTCGATCGCGGGATGCAAAGAGCAGGCTCCATTTTATGACTCCCCTTCTAGGTTTTGCGTCGGTCGGACTCAAAGCTCCTAGCTCGTAGCGTGATCCCCTCCTTTTCCTCCTCCTCCTCCTCTTCCTCTCGGGCCGGACAAAAAGGGGGGATAGGGAAAAGGGGGGTTACGAAATCTGCTGCATGCAGCTGGTTTCGGCCCCGCCGCCGTGCCCATTCCTCGATGCATGGGGGTCTCCGGCGCCGGGAGGCGCCGGGAAAATCAGCTACGCGATCTGATTCTCAATCCCCCCCTTTTGCTATCCCCTCCTCTCGCCCAGCACGATCCTCCTCTTCCTCCTCCTTCTCCTGCTCCTCCTCCTCCTCCTCGTTCCCCCTCCTCTCCCGCTCTTGTCCTCCATCCTTCCCCTTTCCTCCTTTCCCCTTCTCCACTCCCTTCCCTCCACTGGGGGCGGGCCTTGCCTCCTCGCCCCCCTTCTTCGAGTTCAGACAGGAGCTGGCAGGGGCCGGGTGCGGTGGAGCCGCGTCGGCATCGGCAGCGCCCCTGGTTAAGCTAGGGTGCCAGCTGCTGGAGGCCAGGTGCTGGCCGACAGAGCGTCCACGGCTGAGATTGTTCCCCGAAGCGGAAATCGCCCCCCCCCCCCCCCCCCACACACACACACACATACACACACATTCACACTCACACACACACACGCACTCTCACACACACACACACACACACACACACACACACACCCCGCCGCGGCCCACGTCGCCCCCGGACTTCCGGGCGCTGTTGGACGCGCGGGCGGACGTCTTCAAGCGGGCGCGAGACGGCACCACCGCGTTCCACGTCGCGTGCGAGGACCCGCCGGGTTCCTTCAGAGATCTTCGGAGGTCCTCGTTGCCCAAGCACGCTAAAGAAGGACAGCCACAACTGATCGGATTTCCTGGAGGCACCGTCGACATGGACACATTAGTGGTGATTGTTGTCGATTTGGCCGTGGGGTCCTGGTGATTGTTGGCATGCGCGAAACACGCGCAGCGTACCCTTGCGGGAAGGAAGAGGAGGAGGAGCAGGAGGAGGAGGAGGAGGAGGAATGGGAATGTCGAGGGTTGAGGATCGGAGGTTCTGGACGTCGTTGGATCCTTTCGGGTCGTGTCCGTCCATCCGCCCACGCCGCTGCCTGCGCGCGCCAGCAACTCCGCATGTCGGCCTCGCGCTCGAGTGGGGAAGTCCGCGTTGGTGGGCCTTTCAGAAGGCTCGGGAAGCCCCCCGCTGTCTGAAAAACTGATTTACCTCATCCTGTCCCAGAAACAGAGAAGTTGCCAGGAGGCGCGAGGGTTTCTGAGAGGGCCAGCCGCCTTTGAGAAGGTTTTCCCCCCTTGCGCTTCATCCCTGGATTCGCCGCAGAGGTTTTTCGTTGGTCAGACATTCGGCGTCTTGGAAAGCACGAGACGATGTGTGTTCATTATTTGTTTCTCGGGCCCTCGCCCTGTCCCGGGACCGACAAAAAGCAACTCGGGATGAACACCCAGCCTTGGGCAAATGGTCGGGACTTCGGGGGACCGCGATTTGAAAAGAGCAAGGCGTCGCATGGCTTGGGAGGTTCGGAGGTAATCGCTTGTCAAAACGCACCCCGGGAAAGGTGTAGGGAGTAGTGGTATTTGTTGTTGTGTTTTCCCATTTGACCCGAGAAACAAACTCGGGACGGCCAGTGTTTCTCCGTCCTCGGCCTCTGCAGGCCAGTTACATGGTCTAGGACAGCTACAACCAGTTCAGGACAGCTACAACCAGTTTCCTCCTTTCCAGGGCTCCCAGGCCGGTGGATAGACGGTCAAGGCGCTGAAAGGAGGACCACTTTGGGATGCAGCGGGGGGGGGGGCTCTGGTTTGCAGGCCGTTCTTTGGAGCTGGGTCGGGGAACCTCCTCGTGGCCCTTGCCAGAGACGCCCCTTCGTTCCTGCTCCCACGTGCCCCTTGGTACAGTCGGGACCGAGGTATGAGGTCGAGGTCGGCTCGGGGAGGGTACCCTCAAGTTCTCCGTGTTTGTTGGATGTCCTTGTGCATCCTGGGGGAAGGTACCCTTGGATGTTCTGTTTGTTCTGGCCGACGGAGGGTCTCGTGTTCATGGAGGATGTTACTCTAGCCTAGGTCCGGCTGTATCACGATGCGCGGGCCACAGGCGCGGCAGATGCACCCAGGGTGACTGGTACCGTGCCTCGGCCCCCCTTTGGAAGGAGGCGCGCGAGGCCGAGCTGGTGGAGCTGCTCGAGGCGTCAACCGCGTGGCCCGCCCTGCAGCCCTGCGACAACGAGGGGCGGTCGGCCATGGACGCCATGTTCAGGCCACGGGGGGGAGGGGGACAAGGAGGACGACGATGATAACGATACCGAGCACAACGGTCACACTGATAACGATAGCGATAACAAAGCTAACGACAACACATATAACAACGATAACAACGATAAGGATAACAACGGTCAAAGTGATCACAACGATACCGACATGTATCGTTGTTATCGTTGAGGAAGAGACCCTGACCTCCAACGTATCGAAAGTACAAGACAGAGGAGTTTCGTAGTTTTCGGCCCCTCGGGGACCACGCCGGCCTGTCAAAGAACGACTCAAGATGAGAAACCGACCCCGGGGAAAGGGCCCCTACTTCTGACGATCGGGCGGGTGGTAATGGGGGGTGACTTAGATGGACCCGGTGTTGACAAAAGCAAGATGCCGGATATTTGGGAAAGCGGAGCGGGACCGAGGACGGGCGAGGCGGGGGGCAATGGAGCAAGGGAAGAGGGCAACGGCGAGGAGGATCAGGGGCGAATAGCAAGAAGAGTGGAGGCAAGCCAAGGGGAAAGTGGGGGGCATGAGGATGTGCGATGATGATGATGATGATGAGGAGGAGGAGGAGGAGGAGGAGGAGGAGAGGGATGAGTGGAGGAGGAGGAGGGGGGAAGGGGTGAAGGGAGGAGGGGGAGGGGCGGGGGAGGGAGAGCTCCATCGTCGATGCTCGTCGATCGCTCGTTGAGCGTCGTTCTTCGGCCGTCGATCGTTCGACGGTCGATCGTCGATCGATCGATCGACTGACGATGGAGGGGTGGACGAGGAGGGGGAGGCGAAGGGGAGAGGAGGCGCCGCGAGGCCGCGCCCCCCGCGCGAGCGCCAGCGCGCGGCCGGCTGCCGTCTTCAGGAGACTGGGTCGTCCGAGCTGCTCCAGGGGGGCCGCCCCCTCCCCTCCTGGCAGGAGGGACAAAAACACACGGACACAGTGAATCGTCGATTCCCCAGGAACTATAGGAAAATATGGGAAGTGGGGGGGAAGATAAAACCCCCGAAAGGATTGGAAAACATTGGGAATCCTGTTATTTGTGTCGATTTATGTGTGTGTGTGTGTGTCCCAGGGCCCCTTCATCCTTTCGGGTAGGGGATCGACTACGAAGGGGCCGACGCTAAACCTCTCCCTCCCCCGCCCCTCCCCCTCCTCCCATCCCCCCTTCCCCCTCCTCCTCCACTCATCCCTCTCCTCCTTCTCCTCATCGCAAGTCCTCATGCCCCCCTCTTTCCCCGCGCTCGCCCCCATCTCCTTCTTGCTATTCGCCCCTGCTCCTCCTTAGCGTTGCCCTTTTCCCTCGCCCCATTGCCCCCCCGCCTCGCCCGTCGTTCCTCGTTCATCGGCCTTCCCAAACCTTCCCAAACTATCTGACGCCTTGCTTTTGTCAACACGGGGTCCCCAGAAATCCGGAGCCCTTCCCCAGGCCGGTTTTTTTCTTGCGTCGTTCTCTGACGGGCTGACGAGGTCCCTGAGGGGCCGAACGTTACGAATCGCCTCTGTCTTGTATTTTCAACACGGTGGAGGTCTGGGCACCCCCCCTTCTTGTCCCCTTCCCCCCCTTTCGAGTAGGGGATTGACTGCGTGATTTACCCCGCAATTGATTGTTCCGTCAGATCTAAGGAAACACGCAGAATGCTCCGTAGATCTACGGAGCAGTCTAGGCAGTTGTTTTCCATCCGAGGGGGAATCAGTTCTGGGCCAAATCAAGTCTGCAGTCGATCGCATACTCGATCCTTGCCGGGGCGGCGATGACCAGGGGGGGTTCCGAAGAGCGAGGGGGATTGATTCGTTCCAAAGCGTTCAGAGCGTCCTGGAGTGCTCTGGAACGGCTTCGGCGCCCGATGCATCCTCCAAACCCGCCGCATCTCAGCGATTTCCGATTTATATCGGTCCGATGTTGTCTCGACTCTGCCTTGGCCTTGGATGACCAGGGGTGGCCTGGATATGATGGTCGAAGCAATGCCATGAGATCCCCCTGGACTCCTTGGCCCCCTCTTCTTACTTATACTTCACGCTTCACGCTTCGCGTATCCCCACCAGCCCATTCAGAAACCCTGCCAATGAGAGAGCTGTCGGGCAAACGGACGAAGAGACACATCTAGGGAAACAAATCGAGCAACCAGAGTGAACCGAGAGATCTCTGGGAGCAAGGGGGTGGCTTTGGAAAGCCTCATCGGGCCAACCCTGGGGGCCGCGTGGGGGCGAGGGGAAGATGCGGAGGAGCAGGAGGAGGATGATGACGAGGAGGAGTAGGAGGACGAGGACGTGGATGAGGACGAGGACGAGGAGGACGAGGACTAGGATGAGGACGACGCGGACGAGGACTCATGGAACTATCTAGAGGTATTCATGCGGCTGCTGCTGCTGCTGCTGCTGTTGGTGCTCTCTGGGAGTTTGGGGGGCCCTCTTGGAACCCTCTTGGTAACCCTGGAAGGCTTCTTGGGATCATCTTGGAGGCCATCGATTACAGGATGGGGGGTCCCCAACTGATCTCCCCCTTCAGGAGCCCGCAACCCGCTTCTTTGAGCTCTCTTGGAGCGCTCTTGGAGCGGTCTTGGGCCCGTTTGGAACATTTTGGGAGCCATCTTGAGCCAGCTTGGGCTATCTGAGCCATCTTGGAGGTCATCTTGGGATCTCTGAGGCCGCTCGGGGGCCTCTCGGGGGGTCTCTAGGGTGTCTCTTGGGGCCCTCTTGGGACCCTCTTGGAGCCCTCTTGGGGCTCTCTTGGGGCTCTCTTGGGAGCCCTGGAGCGCCTCTTGGGGCCATCTTCGAGGCTATCGATCAAAGGAGGGAAGCTCCCGATCGAAGGTCTTGTTCTGGGGTTGCCCCGGGTCAGTACCCGCCCTGCCCTACCTGGTGGTGCCTGGCTGGACTTTGCTTTTGTTTCTTTTCGTGCGTTGCTGGCTGGTGCCATCACGGTGTTTCTCTCGCCGCGGTGGCAGCGGCAGGGCCTGCCCCGTATTCCCGCCCCGTCCTGCTTTGTCGGTGCCAGGCAAGGTTTCACCTTGTGTTTCTCTCGCCCAGCCTGTGTGCGCGGGTAAAAAAAAAAAACATCGAGCCTGCCCTTTTAGAGGTCGGCTTGAGTTATTGTTTTGTTTGACTCGGGGGTCTCGCCTTCCAGTGAGGTGACGTGCGGGCTGCATGTTGCGCTGCGGCAGATCCCCCCCAAACCCCTCCCTGGGTCCTGGGGCGGGGGGGGGATGCGAGCAGGGGGGGCGAGGGGCCCGCGCCGTGGAAACCACTAGGTAACCGCGAATGGTTTTTAATGTTGAGGACCCACCCACCCCAAATCTTTCGGCGGGGATTGCGAACACGTCCCTCCTCCTTCCCCTCCCTCCTCCTCCAGCTTCTCCTCCTCCTGCTCCTCCTCCTTCTCAGAAGCCTGTCTTCGTCGTCCAAAGCAGAAGCAAGTGGGGCCACCGCAGGAGCAGGTGGGGCGCTATCGAGTTCAATATTCCATACTCCATACTCAGGCTTGAAGAGCTGTGCGGTGGCCGCCGCGGGGGAATAAGTATTTCTTATTAGTATTGGGGCCTAAGCTGTCCACAAGCCCGCGGAACAATGAATTCATTTCCCATCATTTCCGGAGGTTCATTGAAGACCTCTCGGGCCACCGATACCGATACTCCCTTGGCCTCTCCCGTAGTGCATTCTGGCCAGAATTTCGAGGAGAACCCAGCGGTGGCGACGGGAGCCTCCCAGGAGGCCGAGGAAGGCGGAAACGAGCAAAGGGCAAGGATTAACGAATCCCGCAGCCGCGGGGCCCGCTCCCGAGGAGAGCGCATCGGAGCACGTCGCGACGGAGGCCTTGCTGGAGCGCCTGCGCGCGGCCGTTCGGATCGGGAGGTACGTCACGGGCAGGCTCCCGGGCGCCCACTGCCACGGGGAGGCGTTGCCCGCCTGCTACAGGCGGGGTGTGCCGTCGTTGTCGCCGCCGGCCGTCTTGACGGCAACCTCCATCGGGGCTCCAAGAGACTGGGGTCGATGCAAACGGGGGTCAGTCAGTTCGCTGGATCTTGCAGGATCCTGCAGGACGATGGGCGCACTGACCCGGGTTTGGGTGCAGGAGTTTGCAGGAGTTTGCAGGATTTTGCGCGGCTTGACCGACCCGGGTCTGGATTGACCCGGGTCAGAAGATCTCTTAGTCCACGGCCGCCAGAACAAACAGAACAAGAGATGCGTCGGGCGATCCCCTCGCGTCGTGAAGAAGTCACGATCGCGGGCGGCAGACATAGGCGTATCCGCGCCCTCGCGGGCTGGGTTCCGGGGCGCGATGATGCGACTGCGCGGTCGCACGGAATTGTCCCGCGCGGGGGGCATCCGCGAAGAAATGCCCCGTTTCCGCGGGGCTGCGGCCCATCGGGCCTGGCCCGCGAAGCCGCGGATATGGAGATGTGTGTTCGCCCACGACACGGCGGGAGGCTTTTCCATATTCTCGGCCTTGGGGGGGCTCTTGTCTCGCCTCGGAACCGTCAAACAACGATCGAGGATGCAAAGTTGGTCCGGGGTAATGGGTCGAGACCTGTGGAGCTCGACGTCATGAAACATCATAACGTTCCCCGCCGAAGTAACACGCAAAACATACCCCAGGCCCGGAAGAAAAGGCAGACTTCCCAATGTTCCTCCCCGTCCTTCTCGATCTTCCCCCCTCCGCATACATGTCTTGCTGCAAACAATGCGGCATTTCGATTTGGGTCCGAGTGATGGGGTCGGAGCATCGCACCGCGTCGCTGATGCATCAACGATGCGGTGCGATGTGGAGCACAGCCTCCACGTCGACGGTTCCGATGCATCGGCAATGCATCGGCAACGCTGCGCGTTCCTCCGACCCCATCTACTTGGACCCAATCGGGAGGTCCTTACGAAAACTTCGGCCCTTGTTCCTAACGGTGCTCACGCTTGCTGAACGGATGCCTACAGAGAGGCGCAGACGAGGCAGAGTAAACGGCGGCAGAGGCACGAGGATGTGGGCACACTGAGAGCACTTGCCTGATTGGTTCTTCCTTTCCGCTCCTGCCTCGTTCTCCCCATCCCTCATTCAGTAGGGGAAAAACACAGACACAACGAATCGCTGTTTCCCATGAAAAATATAGCAACATCTGGGAAGTGGGGGGGGGGGGAAAGATGAACGTCGAGAACATATAATGGGGGATCATGGGATGTGTGCCTATGTATCCGTGTGCCCCTGGGCCTCTTTTTCACTCCCTTCCTCTTTTCCCTCGTCCTCTCCCTGGGAGCGGCGCTCTGCGCACACCAGCGGCTCTGGCCGTGGGCCCGATGAAGCAACAACCTCACGTTGCCAGGTGGTTGACCGTACCTGCCCAGCAAGCAGCCTCAATGGTCCGGGGGGCCGAGCAGAAATTAGCATCCGATGCCGGCTAGACAGCTCAATATGGCCCCAAGACGTCCCCAAGAGGCCTCCCAGAGGCCTCTAGGAAGCCCAAGTCCTTCAAGCGCCTACGGGAAACAATGAGTTTCTGAAGACCTCGCCTCTTCTCTTCCGATGTGCCTCTGAGGCTTCAGGACGGTCCAGCAATTGCCCCACGGGAGCCCGAGAGCAGCAAGGACGCAGGAGATAGAAGAGAAAAACGAGAAGGGAGGGACAGCGGGCGGAAAGGAGGAACCAGAGGGAAGAGGAAGTAGAGAGGAGAGGAGACGGAACAGAGGTTGGGGAGGGCGAGTAGCGGCAGCATTGTGAATCCACATTTCAAAGGGTTCGAAGCATTTGCCAGACAGATTTGGCGATACGCACCCACTGTGTCGAGACGTTGCCCTGTGATGTGCCAGAACCTCAGCGCGCAAAGCGAGCGCGAAGTTCTCGTATCAGTTGACTGGGGACAGCATTTGTTCCCCTCTTGCCCCCCCCAAGCCTTCCCCTCTAACAGGAGTTTGGACGCTCCTGGGGCAGAAAAGGCGATAATGCCATGGTACAGCCAAATATCACGCCTTTCCCCCAGGGCAAGCGGGGGTCGGCGGAGTAGTGGGCGGATTAGTGGTCTCTGTCCTGCTGCGTCTGCTTATTCTTTGCCATTTGTCCAGGCTTCGAGGCGAGATATTGAGGGAGCATCCAGGATACTTGGGGACTAGCGGTTGCGTCGTGCAGGGCGGGCGAGGCAGGTCGGGAGTTCTTTTTTCAAATTGCTGGCTCAGGAACTAAACTGCTGGCTCAGTAACTAAACTTTCGGAGTTTGGGCCCCCCTTGGTGGCGCCTGGCGCCACCTTCTGGCGCGCTCCGCGCGCCGGTGACGCAGGGTCCAGCTGCTGACCACAAAATTTCGGAGGACCCTCGAAAGTTCATATGCGTCCCTATTATATTTCACACTTCTGCCCCTGCAGCAAGCGGGCGTTGTCGTCGCCGCCGCGTCCAGTGGGCAGGCGCGTGAGCTGTGGGCAGCCGCTGGTTCTTCCACCCCCGTCGACGTTGTCATCGTTGCTGCCGCTGCAGTCGCCGCCGCGGTTGGCGACGGCAGGCGGGCGTGGACTCCGGGCAGCCACCGCTTCTTCCCCCCGCCGTTCCGGCGCATGGTCATGCTGTTGCTGCTGCACTCGGCGCGGCCGTTGGCAGCGGAGAGCGGCGGGTCCGGCAGCAGCCTGTTGCCCGCGACCATTTGGCGGAAGATCTTTGGTTTCATGAGCCGAGATTGGGCGGCGGAACCCCAGGAGATCGGCGCTCAGGTGAGAAAGATTCAGTTGGGAAGTTGTCATGGCCAAGGGTGTCCCTATCTTTTCGCGCCATTTTGGAACATCTGGGGCCGTCTGGGCCTTGTGAGGGGTGCTCTGGAGACCATCTGAGCCTTCCCTGACATCCTGGAAGCACCTTGGGCCAGAGAAACCTTTGGCAACACCTGACTCAGCATCGTTCGTTCGATCCCCATCCCTATTGCGCCATGGTATATCAGCCCCAATATCCCCCCCCCAAGGTGGGGACAGGCCGCGCGAAACCCGAAGGGAGCAGCATGCATCCTTACCTATACGACCACCCTTCGGGTGATAAGGAGGTTGTGTGGGGGGGGGGAGAGGGGGGGGAACCAACACATGACTCAATCGATCTTACTATCGATCTCACTCAACGAGACACCACGGAACACCACGGGACACTTGTCGATCTCACTATCGATCTCACTAAACGGGACACCACGGGACGCCTCTCGATCTCACGATCGGTCTCACTATCGATATCACTATCGATCTCACTCAACGGGACACCGCGGGACACTTTGGGACACTACATCGATTTCACTATCGATCCCACTATCGATCTCACTCAACGGGACACCACGGGACACCTGTCGATCTCACTATCGATATCACTATCGATATCGTTATCGATCTCATTTTTTGGAACACCACGGGACACCACTGGACACCACGGTGCACCACATCGATATCACTATCGATCTCGTTATCGATCTCATTTTTTTGGAACACCACGGGACACCTGTCGATCTCATTATCGATCTCACTGTTTGGGATATCACGGGACACCTTGGGGCACCACATCGATCTCAGCATCGATCTCATGATCGATCTCACTATCGATCTCGCTCAACGGGACACCACGGGACACTTGTCGATCTCACTATCGATCTCAATTTTTGGGACACCACGGGGCACCACAGGACATCTCGGGGCACCACATCGATCTCACTATCGATCTCACTCAACGGGACACCACGGGACACCTCTCGATCTCACTATCGATCTCACTATCAATCTCACTTTTTTGGACACCACGAGACACTTCGGGGCACCATATCGATCTCACTATCGATCTCACTCAACGGGACACCACGGGACACCGCGGGACGCCGCGAGCCACCGCTGGACGGACGGACGGGCGGGCGGGGGAGACTCATTTGTCTTCCCTAGCAACGGCGGACATCACGGGACACCACGGGACACCGCGGGCCACCGCCAGACGGACAGACGGGCGGGCGGAGGATAATCATTTGTCTTGATTTCGCCCTGGCAACGGCGGACACCACGGGACACCGCGGGACACCGCGGGCCACCGCCGGGCGGACGGACGGGTGGGCGGGGGAGAATCATGTGTTTTCCCTAGCAACGGCGGACATCACGGGACACCACGGGGCACCGCGGGCCACCGCCGGACGGACAGACGGGCGGGCGGAGGATAATCATTTGTCTTGACTTCTCCCTAGCAACGGCGGGTTCATTCCTCTCGCGCGCCCACGCAGCTTCGCCTCGCCTGCTCGCACGACACGAACGAAACGAAACGATTTCCCGGTTGGGGGTCTCCGTTCATTTGCGATCCCACCCCCCAACTTCCGATCTATGGGGGTAAGTCGGTCAGTGGGGCCAAGGCCATGCCAGTGGGGACGGGGACCATGCTCAGAGACATATGCACCGATACCGATGCCGTCCCCTCGGCTTCGCCTTTGGAGGGCCTGCGGGCCTTCCTCCCCCCCCTCGTTATGAAAAATCGCAGCTGACGGTTTGTGGTAGGTTGCGGCCTCCTGGGGCTCTTACCGGGCCCGGGACGAAAAGCAGGTCCCGGGGAAGGGGTCCATACTTCCCAGGGTCCACTTTGCGTAACACACACAGCGCCAGAGTTGTTGGTGGCCGCGGCCCGGATCAGCCTCGAGCAGCGTGGTCTCCTTACCTGCCTGAAACAGATCACTATGTTTAAGATTGGCATCACCTTACCCCGGTGGATATTGTTTTTTATTCATTGAACCCGTAACGTCGTTACTGGGGGATCGACCCCCCACCCCCGTAACAGTAACGAACGAACCGGGGGGGAGGTGGGCCGCATGTCGGACCAATCCCAACCGATTGGTACCAATTGCAACCGACTTGGTGGTACCAATTATTACCAACCACCTTGAGCCGACAATAGGGTTCTATGTGTACAGCATTTGAAGACGATTCATCTTCAGTACACTTGTTGGGAATTGGCATCAGTTTATTTAATCGCTTCTCTCACTCCGCCGGCCCGTATTGTGCCATCGCAGGCGTTTGCCTGCGCGTTCGTGGCCGCTTGGAGGCCGTTTGTGGGCCCCTTGGCGCTTCTTTTTGGGCCTCGTGGTGGTATTTCTGGGGCCTCCTGGGGCGTCACGGGGGCCTCTTAGGGGGCCTCTTGGGGTTCTTTTGGGGCCTCTCGGGGGCCTCTTGGGGGCTTCTTCGGGGCCGCTTACCAGGGAACCTCTCTGCGCCTGGAGCTCGAAATGTCCGTTCGGGCCCCTCGTCTGGGCCCGCTCTTGGAGCCGTCTTGGGAGCCTCTTCGGCCATCTTGGAGGCCTCTGGGACTGTATTGGGGCCCTCTGGGGCCGCTTTGGGCGCTCTTAGAGGCCTCTTGGACCGTGTTGAGGTGAACCTGGAAACCTCTTGGGTCGTCTTGGAGCGCGGGTGGGCCGAAAAGGCGAGAACGCCAGAAACCCTCACAAATGTAAGTCAAATCGCTAAGTTTTGCCTCTGTGGGTCCTCTTGGGAGGTCTCTTGGAGGTCTCTTGGGGCGTTTTGACGGCGCTTCTGGGCTGCTTGGAGGCCATCTTTGGCGTTTTGGACCGCTCTTGGACCGTCTCGGACAAGGTTGTGCTCTCTTGAAGGCCACTTGCTTGAAGCGCTCCTGGAGCGCTCTTGGGAGCCTGGCCAGGACCTGCCCGGGACCTGCCCGGGACCTGCCCGGGACCTGCCCGGGACCTTGCCGGGACCTTGCCTGGACTTTTGCCGAGGCTTGCCGGGACCTTGCCCGAAAATTTTTCGTAGGGACCCCCAGGGGCGGCCCCGCGCGCGCGAACCAGAAATATTGTTAACCAGTTACCGGAGACCTTAGCACGCCTTTGGCCCGTTGGGCCGGAGAATTTTCTGACATCTGGGAGCTGTGTTGTATTGTGCTGAAACTAAGCAGTGGGGGTCAATGCAACTGGAGCTTTACGGCTGGCGTATGAGATCGTTGTTGTTTCGTGCGACAGTTGCGTAAAGCCTCGCGTTCCGTTGCTATCATGTAAGAGCTTCGGGAATTTCATCAGCGACCAGTACAACTCTTACGCACAATGAAGTGTGGATATCCATGAGAAATCCAGAACTCGTAATGAGAAGCCCATCGTGCATATATGAGCGTGTTGAATGTAAATTGAAACCAAAAGGCAGACTTCCTGTACGCAAACGGCAAAAAAGAGCTGCTACCAGCGTCCAGCAACATGATAAAGCAGCTTACTTGTGAGTTATAACGTATGTGTAATGGGAACATCGTCTCCCGCATGTCTCTGCAGCACCCCATGCGCTCTTCATTTGGAATGTGATAGGACATGCGCCAGCCACAGCCTTCCAACGACATAGTGAGTCTTCTATGTGCTTTCAATACGACTTCAGTTGGAAACTCGCTTGCCACAGCATCCCGATGAATACATTCCCGCTGAATGTTTCTCCACGTTCGCCGAATATCCCTGATAATCACACCCGGGGGATAATCATGTTCGGGGTCGGGGGGCGATGCGTAATTCTCGTCCAAGTAACTCGTATGCGCGGAGATGGGGATGGATGTTTTCTTTGGGGGCCTCGGAATTCGCGTGTGCGGATGCGAGTCTCTACTTAAAAAGTTACGGCCTCGAGACTCTCGGCCCGCAGCACTTCGGCGTTTCCCGTCAGAGGCCTTGAGCTCGCCCCGCGCTTGGAGGTCCTTGGCGGAACGCGCCCAGAAACATCTTGCGAACAGTCTCGAAATGTGCGCCCATGCAGCCTCGGCACCCCTTGGGGCCGTCCTTGTTGGCCAGAGCCTCCTCGAGGGTCTTGTGTTTGGGCTCCTAGTTTCCCCAGAGATAACGAAGTTCGGCCTCGCCGCCCCTTTCTCCCGAGCAACTCAGTGAGGCCCGTTGGGCGGCGCCCATGCGCAGGCTCGGGTTAGTTGCCGCGGGCGGCTGACCCGCGCTCCTGCGGAGTGCTATCCTCCTCCTCCTTCACCTCCTCTCCCTCGTCGACCTATTTCTTCTACCCCTCCTCCCGCCTCCACCCCAATCTCACCCTCCTCCTCCTCAGGAAGCCATCAGAACTCCATCAGGAACCCATCAGGCACCCTGAGGAATCCACCAGGAATCCACAGGAATACTCTGAATGTTATCAAGACTCCGTCAGGAACCCATCCCAAATCCAACCAGAATCCGTCAGGAATAAATCAGGAAGCCGTAAGGATACCTCAGGTTCACGAGTACCCCAGGAATCACGAGGAACTCCTGCGGAACTTCGGAGGAATCCTCAGGAATCGCGAGGGATGCTTGAGGAATGCTCAAGGATCACAAGAAGTTCGTGAGGAATCTTCAGGGGTCTCGAGAGAACATCGGAGGAACCTGTTTCGGATCATCTAAGAACCCTCAAAAGAGCTCCCAGAACGGTTGGAGTTCGTACAAATTGGTTGAGATTGGTATCGTTGGAATCCATCTCAGTTGGTTGTGATTTGTCCTTTGTCCCTTTTTCGGGGGCGCCCCCCCCAAAAAAAAAACATGTATAGCGCCGTGCTCACTGCCATGGCGTGGTGCTGACAGGCATTGGAGGGCCCCCATGAACGCTCAAGAATCCGCATCGCGAAGGTTTTGGACGTTCTTCAAATCATATGTTGTGTCGGTCGTTCACGCAGCGTTTTCTCGTCGTAAAGTTGCAGCCTTGGCACTTGCAGCACGCTTCCCGTTGAGATTCCCTTCGATGTGTTCGCGCAAGGCCGAGTGGCGATTATGCGCGGCATTGCCCGTTTGACACGACGCGCGCGCGGTGTTCAGGGTAGTTCGCAGTAGTAGCAATGTGGTCGATGCGGCATTTCAGCAGTTTGTTTTTGGCGGACCGTGACGCCCTGTTCGCTTGCCAGCTGCGCGTATCCTGCATGGGCGGATTGCCCCCGCGCAGTGATGCTTTGCGCGGGGTGACTGCGCCGATTTTGCGCGACGATGGGCTCATCCATGCGGGCAGAACGCCTCTGCGTGAAGACGCTTCCTGTGACGTCTAGCATGCCGCCAGCCGCCACATTTGTTTCCTCTGGGCGCCCGGGCCCCCCGCCTTCTTTCAATTCCTGGCCGCGCGCCCGAAACGTGTAATGCTTTTACGTTTTGTTTGTCCAGCGTTTGCGTTGGCCACGGTTTCCAGGACGTTGATCATTTGTTGCCCGCCTCTCGCCCGACCTCTTGTTTTTTGCCCCCCCCCCCCCCCCCCCCCAATTCGCATTGCGCGGTCGTTTTGGCTTATCCACTGCGCGCATCTCGAAGCAGAGGATCCGGTCGGCCCGTGGAGGGCGCGGCTTCTCCGGAGCGAGCGAAGGACGTACACGTGCATAAATCCACGCTGGTCTCGAGAGTGCGCCTCGCGCGAGTTTTCGTATCACGCGGCCGGTCTCGCGGATCGAGTGGCCGTGTTCATGTGCATGGTTGGTCGCGTAGGTCTTTTCTGGGTTCCCCAATTTCGTTGACAACTCATGCGCACTGCGGTTGCGCGTGGAGAAGAGGGCGTCTTCGTTATTCCGAGCTGCTCGCGGCAAGCCCCCCGCGCCGCGATTGCGCAATTTTCGGCGTGGCGAGTTTTCGAACTCTCACTAAGAAGCCCATACCACGAAAAACGATCGCCGCCCATACCATGCAATGGACGCAACATGGGACATGTTCATCCGCGTCGTTTCGGGGCGCACTCCTTCATTTTTTTCGTCGTGTTGTTCCCTCCCTCAGTCCCCCCGTTGTCACTCCTACCCTTCTTTCACTCTTGACCCTTCTTTCACTCTTGTTATTGTTATGCTTGCCTCTCTTGGGGCTCCCACGTGGCACTCTTGGACCGTCTTGGGCTTGTCCTGGGGTCCTGTTGGGTTATCTTGGGGGCTTATTGGGAAACTCTTGCGCGGTCTTTTCTCTCGAACACTTCGGGGCAATCGTGGGCCGTCGTGAGCTCCTTTGGTGGTCTGTTGGTTCCGTCTGGGTTCGCGCCCGCCTCCATGACGGTTTTCTCGTCTCGCTCGCGGATTACCGCAAGCAGTGCAGCCGCGGCGGCGACGGCAGCAGAGTCGCGTTCAAGTCTCGGCAGGACAGTTGTTTCGCGTTTCCACGCGGGGGGGCTGGTTGGGCGCCTCCGGCGGCCATGCCGGGACGTGTGAATTTTGGACCCCCCGCTCCAAGAAAGCACTGTGGACGTAAGAAACTTTGGATTCTTAAACGCATCCCACCCGGGGAGCCTCCATGGTCCCTAAGCACGAGACATTTGCCGATCTATACAATTTAAGAAGGAGCTCCAGGTGTCCCAAGAGGTAAGGTCGTTATTTGTGTGCCCGGCGGGCCTTTGTTGGGTCCTCGGCTGTCAAGGTCCCACAGTTCTCGCAGGCCCCACAGGTCCAACAGGTCCCACAGGTCCCGCGGGTCTAACCGGCCCCGCAGGGGCCACAGGTCAGGTCCCACATATCCCACGGGTCTCGCACGTTTCGCATGTCCCACAAGTTCCACAGGTCCCACAAGTGCCACGGGTCCTACAAGTCCCCCAGGTCCCACAGTTGTCGCAAGTTCCGCAGGTCCCATGGGTCCCACGGGTCCCGTATGTCCGACAAGTTTCATAGGCGCCGCAGGCCTCGCAGGTCTCGCGGGTCTTGCAGGCCCCACAAACGTCCCACACGTCTCGTATGCCCCATGATTGTTGCAGGTCCCACGTGGCCCACGGCTCCCACAACGCCCACAGATCCAACAGGCTCCGCAGGTCTCGCAGGTCTCGTTGGCCACACAGGTCCCACAGGACTCACAGATCCCACAAGTCCAAAGTTTCCAAAGGATTTTGCACGCCCCGCAGTTCCCATAGTTTGCCCCCAGTGGTTCCGCAGGTCCCACAGGTCCTACATGTCCCACGGGTCCCACAGGTCCCACGGGTCCCACAGGTCCCACAGGTCCCGCAGATCCCACAGGTCCCGCAGATCCCACAGGTCTCGCAGATCCCATAAGGTCTCACAGGTCACGCAGGTCCCGCAGGTGCAGGTCCCGTAGGTCCCAAAGCTCCAACAAGTTCGCTGGTCTCGCAGGTCCCATAAGTCCCACAATCCCTGGAGGTCTCGCAGGTCCCACAGGTCCTTCATGCCACGTTTGCTGTTATCAGGGTACTGCCTCTGGTCGCTCCATAAGCATCCAGAGGCATCCAGAGACCACCTGAGGCCTCCTGAGACATCTAGAGGCCTTCAGAGGCGGCCGTCGTCGTCGTCGTCGTCGTCGTCGTCGTCGTCGTCGTCGTCGTCGTCGTCGTCGTCGTCGTCGTCGTCGGTCGTTCTCGTCTTCGTCGTCCTCGTCGTCGTATCTAGCGGCCTCGGAGGTCCTCCAGATGCCTCCAGAGGCCTCCGGAGATCCAATGAAGCCTCCGGAGACTTCTAGAGACCTTGCGAGGATGCCGTCGTCGTCCTCGCCCTCGTCCTCGTCCTCGTCGTTGTCGTCGTCCGGCGCCCAAGCCCCCCCCAGTGTGGCCCGACCACGTTACGGTTATCCCCCCACGGGGGCCCGGGGCCCGACCCCCCACCCGTAACGGGCGTTACGGGGGGGATACAAAAAACAATATCGTGCCGAATTACGGGGGGGGGTAAAAGAAACAATCTCGTGCCGAATTCAATGAGTCCCTAAGATTCTGAGGGCGCACCCGTGTTGGAGCAATGTTTCCTCACCTTTGCATGCACATGATATGTAGTCAGTTCGTCTCAGAAGTGCCCCGCAAGTGACGAAACGTTGGTCCGACACCGACAGCATACTTCCATCAGAGTGCTTTCGTCGGCTGGCCCGATGGTCTGAATTCGAACGAAGACTGTGAGCCCCCTCAGCTCGTCAACCTCAGGGACAGGGACGAGCTCGAAGCGGGTCATCGGCGCCTTTCCTCACCACCCACCGAACCACCCCAACCCAACCCGAAGGCCCCAGCTTGCTCTCCATTCCCAGTGGGGGGTGGGTCGCGGGGAGCTTTGAAAAAGCGCATTCGAAACCCGTGCCCCTACCCCCCCCCCCCCCCAGACACGCAATGTGGGTCTGCGGGTTAGGTCGGGGTGGTCGTCTGGCAGGCAGTCATTTCTTGCCTCGCCAGCCCAGGTTTGGGGTGCTCGAACTGATGCCACCGGGGCCCGCGCCCTCCTGGAGCGCCCGCCTTCTGCCCCGAGTGCGGGCACGGGCGCCCCCTCCCTGATTGTCCTCCTCCTCATCATCATCCTCATCCTCATCCCTCCTCCCTCCTCCCTCCTCCCTCCTCCTTCCTCTTCCCCCTCCTCCTCCTCCTCCTCCTCCCTCCCCCCCCCTCCCTCCTCCCTCCTCCCTCTCCTCCTCCTCCCCCCCCTCCTCCTCCTCCTCCTCCTCCTCCTCCTCCTCCTCCTCCTCCTCCTCCTCCTCCTCCCTGTCCTCGTCGCCTTGTCACCCCCCTTTCACCCCCCTTCCCTCTGCTCCCTGTCCTGTCTGCTCCAGGCCAATCCGCCAATGAAGTGTAAGGGTGCGCTCCTTGCCCGATTCGAGTCCGACTCTGCCCCCGCCCCCCGCCCCAGCGCCGCAGAGGACTCGGAGGACGCCGACATCCACTTCTAAGCTCAGGGGCAACGTTAGTGGGTAACAGGCCGTGGGGGGGGGGGAAGCATCGACCCCCAGTCGCCAAGTTCTCGCCGATGGGGGCCATAACTATAGCCCACCCGGCCCAGGAGCGTTCGGTGTCGCGATCGAGGGCCCATCAACGACCTATCGGCCACGTATCGCCGATTCCAACTCGATGGTTCCCCCCTGAGCCAGTCACACCCTACGTTGCCCCTACGTGCTGCCAGCACGGGCGGATCACGGCTGCCGCCTCGGCGTTTTCTCGCGGCTGTTGCCCGAGCACCTTGCCCGACGTTCGCCACATTGGGCGCGGCGTGGCGCGGTTCGTGGCCACTGCCTTCCTTGTGCTCCACGTGTTGTTGCCGCCCGTTTCTGCTGTCGCATGTGCCTGCTGTATCGTCCTTGTCCCCCGCCTCCCACCCAATCTCTCTCCTCGCCCACCTGCGAAGCTACCTGCTCCTCCTCGCTACTCTTCCCTCGCTGCTCGTATCGTGTTTTGGGGGCGCCTTGGCGGTGCTCATCTGATCCGATGTTCTCTTCATCCTGTCTGTCCTCTGCTCACCCCTATTCCTTCCCTCGTTCCCCAATCCTTCTCCCACCCCCATCTCTACCCCATCCTCTTCTTGCCCTGCCCCCCTTCCCCTACTCCTGACTCTCCTTCCTCCCTTGCCCTCCGCCCCAGCCCCACTCCTGTCCCTTTTTCTCCTCCCATCGCTCCCCTGACTCTATTCCCTTCCTCCTGCCGCCCAGTTGCTTCGAGGCGCCCTCCAGAGGTGTTTGGCTTCGCGGCGAGGCAGAGCTGGTGGAGACGGTGGACGTGCCGCGTCGCGCCTCCCGCTCCCGCGACAGCGTTTGGACGACGAGGGGGCGGGGGCAGGGCGTGCCGCAGCACACCGCGGCTCTGACGCGTCGCGTGCCGTGACAGGACGCCCTGCGTTGAGCGACTCGCCCTGCTCCTGGGGCAGCCTGGCGTTTTCTGCCCGCCTAGCGGCGCAGCGGATCGCGCAGTCGCCGAAGTCTCCCCTCTGAGCGGGCACCGCGACCGGGCGTCGGCGAATGCACCTCGCGCCCGCGATCCGCACACAGAAAAAGGCGTGGCCAGTTGCGCCATCGCCGCTTGCTGGCCGTGGCGCTGAACGTGGGAGTGCCGCGATGCTTCCGTGCACCGAGCAGGACCGCGACTCGCGGCAGGGTAGTTATTACGAGGATGTCTCGGCCTCCTTTCGTCCTTCGCATTCCTCGCGCGTGCAGGAGGGTTTTGACCGTAACGACGTCGCGTCTCGGGCGGACCTTCGTCTGGCCCCAGTCGGCTGTCGGGCCTGAAAGTGAACGAAATGGACGCCTTCGGCTCAGCAGAAGCAAGTGACCCCACAGCGGTGGAACCTGGAGGGCACATGTGAGCAATGAGGTGTTTACCTGTTGCCATGGGGGAGACGGGTCTTGAGGGAAACGGGCCCTGCGCTTTTTTTTGGGCCGTTTTCGAGCTCTCGGGGCCCTCCACGGGCCCCGAGATTGTCAGACAATTTCTTAGGATGAAGATCTCGCCCTTGGGGAAGACCCCGGGGTCCAGGACACATTTCTCTCAGGCCCCGTGTCCCCCATGCTCAACCTGTCTCCCAGGAGATTGCGAGCGCCCCCATGTGGAGCCGTCTGGACAGTCGCGAAACAATGGGAGGCTCAGAGAGCAGCATCGCATAGCAATCCGTGGTCTTAATTGCAACGTCAGCGCCATCCCAAAAACGCTGGTGCCACAGTCAATGTCGACATGTGTTGCCATGCTCGAGCCCCTACGAAGTCTGCTTGATGAGGGTTGACCTGAAATCAGATCCCTTTCCCGCCCTGGTCAATCGATCTCCCCCATTGTCCTCTCGCCGCTTCCTCCTTGCCTTCCTCTCCTTCTCGCCCCATCGATCCTGCTGTGCCTTCCTTCGATCGCCCCTGCTCGAAGGCCCCGGCCTTCTAAAACAAGTGTACTGAACCCTCTCCGAAGCCGCAGACGGCGCGTCACAAGGCCGGGGAGTTTCAGACAAGCCCCGCCGTTTTCTCGGAAGGCGTGCCCCGCCTCACCTCCCCCCGGCCAGCGCGCCGACGGTCTTCGTTCTCCTCCTCCTCCTCCTCCTCCTCCTCCTCCTCCCTCTTCCTCGTTCCCTCCCTCCCCTTCCTCCCTCCCTCCCTCCTTCCCTTCCTCCTTCGTTCCTCCTCTCTCCTCTCACCTCCTTCCTCTTCGCTTCTCCACCTCCCCCCCTCCTCTTTCTCCTCCTCCTCCTCGCTCGCTCGCTCGCTCGCTCGCTCGCTACCTAAAGGCCTAAGAGGTTCGAAGCCCGTGCTTGGTAGACACGGGAGAGAAGGCGAAGACAGCACCCCCTACATGCACATGCAGAGGAAGGGGAGGGGGTGACGGGGGGACTCAAGTGTCACTGTCCACAGGCCTGGCGAGGGTGGCCTGCACAAGGAGCGCCGCGGCGAGTCCGACCGCCGACGCAGGGAACTGACTCACATCTCTAGGGGGGGCGGATGGCCACGGTGATGATGGCACAAACGCGTCCAAGGACGCAAGGCCCTTAGCCACAACAAGGCTGGGATGCAAGTGCGGGGCCCCAAACGAACACGTATCCACATTAACCGGGATCATCCCCTCAAACAACACAAGCTCTTTCAACTCGGTCACGTCGCTACAATTCGACGGTAGCATTATAATGAAGGGAAGTCCGTGCTGCGCACAGTGCAAGCATGCAAGAAGGGCGGCCGGAAGCACCTTGTTGTCCTGTCCCACCTCCTTCCCTTCCCTTTCGTTCACTTGGTCAGATCCCCAGGGCCTTGCCTGGGTGCGCACTGGATGGCGCGTGGTGCGCCAGGTCGGTAGGTGAGGCGCCAACAGCAATCCTGCGACCTCACCCGCAGCAATCCTCCCCTCCCATTGTTCAACCTCGCGTTCGGAGGGCCAGGGAGAGACGAGGGGGGAGGGAGCAGAGGTAGTCCCCTGGCAGGGATTCTCAAATGCCAATCCGATGCGCCCTTCACCCTCTAACATCCCAAACAGTCCCACCATGTGGTCGCTTGGTCCAGGGTTCACTCTGGCAACCTGTTGGGGCAACGTGCTCTCTTCTTGCTCGAATGGGGGCTCTAGGGGTGTCGATCCTCTCAGGCGAGGCCTCCACCACCCGCCAGCGAAAGGGGTGTCCGTGAACTTTCTGAGCAGGGATGAGGGCGTGCGTGTCAGATTTCCCCCCTTTCCTGTTCGCCCGCGTCCCAATCTTGCGCAATTCAATGGCCTCCCCACGCTCAGCTTCATTAGGACGAAGGGGGAATTCACCCAAGCACGAAAGCAAGCGGCAGATCTGTGAAGGTGTTTGATCAAACGCACACCCTGCCAGAACCCCCAACAGCACACAGGGCACATCGATCCCGTGGCCACGTTCTCAGGTGCTTCGGCGGTCTTATGCTGCTTGGAGCGATGACTGCGAAAAAGCCTCGACGTCTTGGCAAGGTGACCGCACTCGTAGCAACGGAAACCTTGATGGCCAGCAGGGTCAGGCGGCGGCGGCGGAGCCTCACTAAGCGGTAGTTGGCTGTCCCCAATGTGGGGTGGGAGCTCACTGGGCCTGGGGGGAATCTCACCCCCGCCCAGGTCACCTGGCCCCCCTTTGCGAACCATCACTGGCAAGCTGGGTCATGAAGCCATATCTGCTCAAACCTGTATTGTCATTCTGCGTGCGCTGGAAGATGGCCCGCAATCTGGGGCACGCCATCTTTTTGTGCGCCTCCTGTCGCCATTGCCGTACTTGTAGAGTGATTGTCCGAAACCTTTTCGCGCTGGTGGCAGCCTGCTTCACAAAGGCCAGACATTCTCGTCTGTGAGATCTCGCCAGCCGAACCCACGAATGGTCATCATAACCATATTCACGAGCGTCGGCCTGAAGATGTCGTCGGATCCACCCACAATCCTGTCGTACCAATGTTGCCAAGCCTCGATCCCACGTGTAGTCAAGTATTATTCTTACAAGTGGTGGAGGCCGAGCCACTGTCATAACAACATGTAAAGGCAACCCTTGCACCTTTACCAATATGTCGGCTGTCGATGCATGCGCCTCGCTGCAGTTGACAGTCCCAAGGTTCAAAGGAGCCCTGTAAATTGACATGTAGCCCGTGAAGGCTCTCATCTGCAGGTAGCGTGGTTGCGGGTCCCACGTGCCAGCTGCGCTCCTCCTCCCCCTCCTCAACAAATTTCACAGCAGGTGAATTGGTAAGTGAGCTGCAGAAAGAAGGACAGGGTGATGGATTGAGGGCAGAGAAGATAAACTATGACCAAGTGAAAGCAGAGTATTGCGAGACAGTGGAAAACGATGGCGAGGGCGACGCGCGAGCCATTGATGCAGAGCTGATGGAGGACGTTCGAGAAGATCGCAAACCACTAGTTCGCTATCTACGGCGCACATGCAAAAGGGGGGGCATACCCGACATGGGGTCTTCCCAGCGAGATGGCGCTGCTCATTGAAAAGCCGCTAGGGAGCACAGCAGATCCCAATGAAGCCAGTGATCGAGTTGCAGCACGACTTCAACGAATTGCAGAAGCAGAAGAGGAGGAAGACAGGCCGCAGACAAACAAAGGCCGCTCGCTGTTAATGAAGATGGGTTGGGGGCCAGGTTCAGCAATCGGGGCAGATCCCGATGGTAAACCAGCTGAAGCTGCATTGCCGGGTTCATGTATTTCCAAGCGACATTCCAGAGCAGGAGTGGGCGCAGAGGGGATGAGTTGCGAGGCGCAGTTGTTTCAGAGAAGATACGCTGAGTTCTTAGTTAAGGTACGTGCCTGCGAAGCGGCCCCGATCGATTGGCCGCGAGCTTCTTCCTTCGGCATGGACGAGGGAAACGGCGCAGAGGGCATCTTGGGGAGACGGGTGATGCACTGTTATTGCGCATGGTCAATGGGATTTCACAGCGGGGTTCGCAAGCGTGCACCCACCAGAGAAAGACCCTACTGGGCGCGCGGGGGACTTGCTAAGAAATTCAGAGAGGGTGCGCTGATAGCCACTATGAATTGCAGATGGCGAATATTATCACTGGGCCATCGCCATATTACGACGAACCTTGATTGCACGAATGCTTCTGGCTGCACGGATCGTTCGAAGCTCGAGGAGATCGCGAGGACACAGAGTCAAGGGACAGACATCCCGTTCGCAGTGGAAGCCATTGAACACGCCTCGATGATGATCAAGGGCAGCGACGAGGAGATCAGCCTTATGCCAAAAAAGCTGAAGCCAGATGGGTGTTTGTCTGGCCCCACGCGATTTCAATGACTGCTACAGCCCATTGGTCGAGAAATGTAATCAGAACCTTATGCAGCAGGACAGTACCTACGGCTTGCCACGTGCACGGGGTCCGACGATGCAACAAGGAGAGGAGGTGGGCATTGGACTGGCGACATGTATGGATGATGTGACTCGCGCGCATGTCTGGCCGGGGACACCGAGTTTGCAGGAGACCACCTCCAAGATTAATTTCGCCACCAGCTCGCCCGAAGACCACATGGCGGAGGGCGGGCGCACGCTGAATGTTGGGAAACCACACCATTTGGTGAGCCTTCGGGGTATCGGGGCCCAAGCGACCACCAGGAGGCCCCGCAAGAAAGCGAACGGGGTCCACGGAGAAATCAAACGACATATGCGAATGCCGGGGCCCTACTTGGGCTCGGACGGCCCCATTGCCGATGAAATCAGGAGGGGGGGGGGGGGGGGGGGGGGGGAGGGGTCCACGGAGAAATCAAACGACATATGATGAATGCCGGGGCCCTACTTGGTCGGACGCATTGGGTGACCGAAATCGGTGTGCGGGACGCATGCGGGCACACCCGCTGGGGCCTTCGGTGGAGCTCCCTATGGGGCCACAAAACGTGTGAAGGGTATGCCGAAATGTGTGTGCGGG